GGCCAGCAGAGGGGCAGTGAGGTGCAACCAGGATGGCAGGGGGGGGGCAGTTAGGGGTGACCAGGTTGGCAGGCGGGGGAGTTAAGGGCAATCAGGTCAGCAGGCAGAGGTGGTTAGGAGTGATCAGGCTGGCAGGCAGAGGCTGTTAGAGGCAATCAAGCAGGCAGTCAGGTGAGCAGTTTGGAGCCAGCAGTCCTGGATTGTGAGAGGGATGTCTGACTGCCAGTTTAGGTCCTATCCTGGCAGTCGGACATCCCTTGAGGGGTCCTGGATTGGAGAGGGTGCAGGCTAGGCTGAGGGAACTGCCACAGCCCCATGCACGAATTTCATGCACCGGGCCTCTAGTAGAAACTATAAAAAATAACCAGAAAGGAAGAATACAATATCTGAAATGAATCAACAGCAGGTTATGTAAGGCAGAGGAATGAATCAGTAATTGAGAGAACAAGATAACAATAAGCATGCAAGTAGAGCATCAAAAAGAAGATAGATTTTTTTAAAATGTGGAAAGTTCAAGAAAAGATCCCGAGAACAAAAGAATCAATTGAAGAAATAGTGGCTGAAAACTTTCCTAACCTGGTGAAGGAAAAAGTCACAAAACTTCTGAAAGCACAGAAAGTACTAATCAAGATGAACTCTAAGAGGCCCAAACTAAGACATATCATAATAAAAAAGGCAAAGGTTAAAGATAAATAGAGAATTGTAAAGGCAGCAAGAGAAAGACAGTTAGTTACCTACAAGGGAGCGCATATGGCTGTCACCTGACTTTTTAACAGGAACACTTCAGAACAGAAGGGATTGGCATGTTATATTCAAAGTGATGAAAAGCAAGGACCTACAAACAATACTACTTTATCCAGCAAGGCTATCACTTAACATTAAAGGTGAAATAAAAAGCTTCCCAGACAAAAAAATAAGCTAAAGGAGTTCATTATCATCAAACCAATAAGAAGAGAGAGAGAGAGAGAGAAAAAGAAACAGAGAGAAAGGAACATAGGTATAGAGAATAAAATAGCAATAAATATGTTCCTATCAATACTAACTTTAAATGTAAATGGATTAAATGTTCCAATTAAAAAACATAGGGTAGTTGAATGGATAAGAAAACATGACCCATATATATGATATCTACAAGAAACCCACATCAGAATAAAAGATACACACAGAAAGTAAAGGGATTGGAAAAAAAACACAAAATTATTCTAAACAAATGGAAACAAAAAAATCTGAGGTAGCAATCCTTATATCAGACAAAATAAATTTCAAAACAAAGGCCATAAAAGAGACAAAGAAGGCTCTGGCAGGGTGTGGCTCAGTGGATAGAGCATCAGCCCACACATCCTGTATATAAAAAAGGTCTTGATGTATTTTAAGGGAGAGATAGGTGGCAATACAGTCATAAAGGGTAATTGTAACACTCCACTGACATCAACGGACAGATCTTAAAAAAAAATCAACAAGGCTGCAATGACTTTAAATGACACACTGAATTGGATGGATTTAATGGATATTTACATTACATTTTATCCCACAGCAACAGAATATACATTCTTCTCAATTACACATGAAACATTCTCTAAGGTAGATCACATGTGAGTACACAAAATAGGACTAAATAAATTCAGGAAGATTAAAATCACATCAAGCACCATCTCTGACCACAGTGATATGAAACTAGAAATCATCTACAATAAAAAAACTGAAAATCATTCAATCACATGGAGGCTAAATAGCATATTAAATAATGACTGGGTTACCAATGAGACCAAGAAAGAAATCAAAATTTATGAACAACAAAAACTGATGAACAAAAACAGATCCAATGACAGAGAAGCATCAATCAGACCGTCAAACCTCAGAGGGAAGGTAAGGGAGGATGGGGGTAAGGGGAAGAGATCAACCAAAGAACTTGTATGCATGCCTATAAGCCTAAGGAGGAAAAGGAACCGTAGTGCACTGTTGGTGGGAATGCAGACTGGTGTGGCCACTGTGGAGAACAGTATGGAATTGCCTCAAAAAATTAAAAATGGAACTCCCATTTGACCCAGTGATCCCACTTCTAGGACTATATTCCAAGAAATTAGAAACACCAATCAAAAGTGACATATGCACCCCTATGTTCATAGCAGCACAATTTACAATAGCTAAGATTTTTCTGTTCCTGCTGATCTCTCCTCTCCTTTGGGGTGTCTGATTGCACACATATGCCACCTGAAGTTTTCCCAGCTCACTGATTGCCTGATCCTTGTTCAGTCTTTTTTTTCTGTTTCATTGTGAATAATTTCTATGGCTATGTCTTCAATTTCACTAATCTTTTAAACAGCCCAAGTGCCCATCAGTAGATGAGTGGATTAGAAAACCGTGGTACATCTACACAATGGAGTACTACGCTGCTGTAAAAAAGAAGGAACTCTTATCATTCGCAACAGCATGGATGGACATAGCGAGCATTATGTTAAGCAAAATAATCCAGTCAGAGAAATATCACATGATCTCACTCATCTGTGGAATATAATGAACAACATAAACTGATGAACAAAAATAGATGGACAGAGAAGCATTGAACAGACCATCCAACTTCAGAGGGAAGGCAAGGGAGAGGTGAGGGGAGTAAGAGATCAACCAAAGGACTTGTATGCATGCATATAAGCATAACCAATGGACACTGACACTAGGGGTATGAGGGCATGTGCTGGGGGGTGGGGGTGGCTGGGGAGACGTCAATGGGGGAAAAAGAAGACACGTAACACTATATGTAATACTTCAAACAATAAAGAATTTAAAAAATAAAATAAAATATGGTGGCCTCTCAGGTGTGGCTCAGTGGTTGAATGTTGACTTATGGACTAGGAAGCCATGGTTAGATTCCCAATCAGGACACATGTCTGGGTTGTGGGCTCTATCTTCAGTAGGGGGTGTGCAGGAAGCAGCCAATCTATGATTCTCTCTCATCATTGATATTTCTATCTCTCCTTCCCTCTCCCTTCCTCTCTGAAATCAATAAAAATATATTAAAAACTACAGGACCGGTGCATGAAATTGTGCACAGGTGGGGTCCCTCGGGTTGGCCTGCAGAGATTGGGCCCCAGCTCATGCCCCTAGCCCTGCAGCCCTGCAGCCCCAGATTGTGCCTTCATCTTTGCAGCCCCCCAGCCCCGCCTGGCACCCCGCCTTGGCCTGGTGCTGCCCCCTCACCTGCTCCACCATCCCGCCTGTGGGGCAATGGCTCAGGGCCAGGCCTCCTGCCTGGCTTTCTCAGTGCCTGCAAGCTGGGTGGCAGTCCCGCCCCCCACCGCCGCTGCTGGTTGCAGTCTGCAGGGCAATTGGGCCTCTGCTCGCACCCGCCTTGGCCTGGCACTGCCCTGTCACCTGCTCCTCCATCCCACTGTGGTCCCACTCTCGCCGGGGCCCTTCAGGGCCGGCAGCGCCTCCCCTGCCACCCACTACCAGCACCATGTCATCAAGCCCGCCATGTTCTTCGCCACCCACTGGTGGTCAGCACACGTCATAGAGAGCAGTTGAACTCCTGGTTGAATGACCATCCGAGGGGACAATTTGCATATTAGGCTTTTACTATATAGGATTAAAAATAATAAAATATAGTGGGTTTCTTGTAGACCACATATAGTCAGGTCTTTTTTTTAATCCACCATTATACATTGTCTTATAATTGGTGTGTATAGATAATGTACTTTTAAAGTAACTATTGATGCAGCTGAATTAATATTGACCACATTTGTAATTATTTTCTATTCATTGATTTTTATTTCTTGTGTGTTTGTGTGTGTGTGTGTGTGTGTGTGTGTGTGTGTGTGTGTGCTTTTTTCTTGCAAGGCTGGTGACAAATTTCTTATGTTTGAGAAAATCTATCTTTTATTCACTTTTGAAGGATAGTTTCACGGTATACAGAATTCTAGGTTGGTGGGATTTTTCTTTTAACAATTTAAGTATTTCTATTCTCTTTCTGCTTGTGTGGTTTCTGAAGAGAAATCAGATGTATTTTTTTAAAAGTATATTTATTATTGAAAGTACTACAGATGTCCTCTTTTTCCCCCATTCACCCACTGCTCCCCACTCCCACTCTTCCCCAGACCTTCACCACACTATTGTCTGTGTCCATGGGTTATGCATATATGCATATAAGTTCTCTGGTGCTCTCTTCCTGCCCCCTCTTCCCTCTGAAAATCTTAAGTCTGTTGCATGCTTTCATGTCTCTGGATCTATTTTTTGTCAGTTTCTTTTGTTCATTAGATTCCACATATGAGTGAGATCATGTGGTAATTGTCTTTCTGGCTTATTTAGCTTAGCATAATACTCTCCAGGTCCCTCCATGTTGTCTCAAAGGGTAAGAGATCCTTCTTTTTAACAGCTGCATAGTATTCCATTGTGTAAATGTATCACAGCTTTTATATCCACTCATATACTGATGGGCACTTGGGCTGTTTCCAGATCTTGTCTATTGTAATTAATGCTGCTATGATCATAGAGGTTCATATTTTCTTTCTGATTGGTGTTTCAGGCTTCTTATGATATATTCCTAGAAGTAGAATCATTAGGTCAAATGGCAGTTTCATTTTTAATTTTTTGAGGAAAATGCACACTCTTTTCCATACTTCTCTTGCCGTCTACATTCCTACCAGCAGTGTACTAGGGTTCTTTTTTCAAATGTAATTTTTATCCTTGTTTCTCTATAGGTAATGTATTTTTCCTCTGACTCCTTTCAAGATGTTCTTTATGTCTTCGATTTTCTGCAGTTTAAATATGCTATGCCCGAGTGAAGAATTTGTCATATCTATCCTATGGTGTGTTCTCTGAGCTTCCTCAGTGTTTTAGTGTACCATTAATTTTAGAAAATTCTCAACCCATTATTAATTCAAATATTTAATTTGTTTCTTCCAGCTTTTCCATTTCTAGTATTTCTATTACATATATGTTGACCCTTTTGTAATTTTCCCATAGTTCTTTGATATTCTGTTGCACTTTCTTAACTTTTTTCCCTTTTTATTTCAGTTTGGGAAGTTTCTATTATACTTTCAGCTCACAGATTATTTCCTTGATCACACCCAGTTTATTGATGAGCCCATCAAAGGCATTTTTAATTTCTCATTTTAATTTCTCCATTTTCTTTCTTAGAGTTTCCTTATACCTGTTTACATTATCCACTTTTTCCATTAATATGATTAGCATATAAATCATAGTTATTTTAAATTTCCAGTATAAAAATTCAAAAATATCTGCCATATCTGAGTCAGGTACTGATGCTTGATTTGTTTCTTCATATTGTGGCTTTTTTGTGTGTGGGGGGGATCCTTTTATCATGCCTTTTAATTTTTTGTTGAAATTTGGACATAATGAATTGGGTAAAAAGAACTAAAATAAATAGTGTGATTTTTTATGTTACTCTAGCTAGAAGTGAGTCTAATTTTACTGTTTCCTGTAGCTGTAGTGTCAGAAGCTAAAAATTGCTCTAATTGTTAGAGTAGGCAACTAGAAAGATATGAACTGGGAGAAGCATTTGGGGTTTGGAGGGGTTTGGGTCTGTTGCATGATTTCATGTCTCTGGATCTATTTTTTGTCAGTTTATGTTGTTCATTATATTCCACATATGAATGAGATCATATGGTGTTTATCTTTCTCCAACTGGCTTATTTTACTTAGCATAATGCTCTCCAGTTCCATCCATGCTATAGCAAATGGTAAAAGTTACTTCTTTTTTATAGCAGCGTAGTATTCCATTGTGTAGCTATACCACAGTTTTTTAATCCACTCATCTGCTGGTGGGCACTTAGGCTGTTTCCAAATCTTAGCTATTGTAAATTGTGCTTCTATGATCATAGGGATGCATATGTCCTTTCTGATTGGTGTTTCTGATTTCTTGGGATATATTCCTAGAAGTGAGATTACTGGGTCGAATGGGAGTTCCATTTTTAACTTTTTGAGGAAACTCCATACTGTTTTCCACAGTGGCTGCACCAGTCGGTATTCTCACCAGCAGTGCATGAGGGTTTCTTTTTCTCCACATCCTCCCCAGCACTTGTCATTTGTTGATTTGTTGATGATAGCCATTCTGACAGGTGTGAGATGGTACCTCATTGTTGTTTTGATTTGCATCTCTCGGATGATTAGTGACTTTGAGCATGTTTTCATATGTCTCTTGGCTTTCTGAATGTCCTCTTTTGAAAGGTGTCTATTTAGGTCCTTTGCCCTTTTTTTGATTGGATTGTTTATCTTCCTTTTGTTAAGTTGTATGAGTTCCCTGTAAATGTTGGAGATTGAACCCTTATTGGAGATAACATTGGCAAATATGTTCTCCCATGCAGTGGGCTTTCTTGTTGTTTTATTGATGGTTTCTTTTTGCTCTACAGAAGCTTTTTATTTTGACGCCGTCCCATTTGTTTATTTTCTCCTTAGTTTCCATTACCCTAGGAGCTGTACCGGTAAAGATATTGCTACGACATATATCTATGGTTTCTTCTAAGATTTTTATGGTTCCCATATTATGTTTAAGTCCTTTATTCATTTTGAGTTTATTTTTATGTATGGTGTAATTGGTGGCCTTTTTTCCTTCATTGACTGGCTTATTTCACTTAGCATAATGCTCTCCAGCTCCATCCATGCCGTTGCAAATTGTAAGAGTTCCTTCTTTTTTACAGCAGCATAGTATTCCATCGTGTAGATGTACCACAGTTTTCTAATCCATTCATCTACTGATGGGCACTTAGGCTGTTTCCAGATCTTAGCTATGGTGAATTGTGCTGCTATGAACATAGGGGTGCATATATCCTTTCTGATTGGTGTTTTTGGTTTCTTGGGATATATTCCTAGAAGTGGGATCACAGGGTCAAATGGGAGTTCCATTTCCAGTTTTTTGAGGAAACTCCATACTGTCTTCCATAGTGGCTGCACCAGTCTGCATTCCCACCAGCAGTGCAAGAGGGTTCCTTTATCTGCACATCCTCTCCAGCACTTGTCATTTGTTGATTTGTTGATGATAGCCATTCTGACAGGTGTGAGATGGTACCTCATTGTTGTTTTAATTTGCATCTCTTGGATGATTAGTGACTTTGAACATGTTTTCATGTGTTTCTTGGCCTTCTATATTTCCTCTTTCAAAAAGTGTCTATTTAGGTCTTTTGTCCATTTTTTTTATTGGATTGTTTATCTTTTTTGTTAAGTTGTATGAGTTCCCTGTAAATGTTGGAGATTGAACCCTTATTGGAGATAACATTGGCAAATATGTTCTCCCATGCATGGGCTTTCT